GGGGTTTTGGTTCGTTTTCACACCACAGTGATTGCTCTGGTCCGAATCAGTTGATGAGTTGATGAAACGAACCAAAATATAGTCACTTGACAACATTCAGATCACTCGTTGGCCAGATGTGTCTTGAACATATTTCCACAACTGCACTTCGATTGGTCAGAATTAACGTGCGGGAAAATCCCAACAGAACTCCCGGAAGTGAACAAAGAGGAGGAAAATCCGGCTGACATGCGGAGAAGTCGCTCACAATGTATGTTCAGAATCAGCACGAGCTTTATCCTTTCGCAAATCCCCTCATAAACAACACAGTCTAGACGCGATATAGATAAGAGATTCACTGTGCAGTGCGGACAACTGCAGTGTTTATGAGGAGAGTTTCAGTGAGAGTGCAGAACGCGGTGAGTCAGTCATGGCTTAAAGGGAGCGCTATTGACAATCTAAATATTAGTTTTGTTTGACTACGGCAGCTGGTTTAGTCCAAAAACGCGCAGTTCTTCGGCAGTCGGGTCTGTTCGAGGTCGGATCACGTTCTCACCACAAACGAACCTCTCCAGAGTTTGTTTGAAAGCATCCTCTTCGAGGAGGTCTCGGCACGCTTGTTTGGTCCGCTTTTGGTGCGCACCCGAGTGCGATCGCTGGATTCACACCGGCCCAAATGAACCGCACCAAGGGGGAAAACAAACTCTAGTGCGATTCAACCGGACTAAATGAGGCAGGTGTGAAAGCACCCTTAGGGTGTATTCACACCTGCCTTGTTTGGTTCGATTGAATCGAACTCTAGTTCGTTTCCCCCCTTGGTGCGGTTCATTTGGGCCGGTGTGAATCCAGCGATCGAACTCGGGTGCGGACCAAACAACCGAACCGAGACCCAGCTGAAGAGGTGGTCTCGGTACGCTTCCAAACGAACTCTGGTACGGTTCGTTTACGGTCTGAACATGAACCGACCCAATTGCAAGAAAGCACTGCGCCTTTGAGTTAACAGGCTTCCGTAGTCGGAGTTGCGTTATGGGAAAGTGATCTGTTGTAGCCTACTACATTTGATAAAATGAGTCGTGGTTTGACCTGGAGCTTCGAAGAGACGAGCTGCCTTATTAACATTTGGGCAGATGCCCATGTAGCACAGCTGCTGGAGAGGACACATAAAAATACTGATGTGTTCAACATGTTTACTGAACGGATGAAGGAGAGGGGAAATGAGAGGTCTCCCGCACAGTGCCGCGTTATACCGTGTGGTATACACGTAACAATAAGCTACTAGCAAGCTCTTGTGTGCTTCCTAACTCTTCGCGTTTCCGCTGCTCTTTTCCCTGTTGTGGCGGTTAGCAAACAGTGTTGCATTACCTCGCGCCCCCTTCTGGACTGGAGTGTGTTTCACTATGTTTCACGCATGCGATTGGCTGTTCACACTTTCATGTGCACTCGCTCCATAGCTATTCGTGTACTCAGGAAAATCCTGAGTTCACAGAGAAAGTGGATGATCAGTGGCATGTTACCAACAAAGCCTGATAGGTTGGTTTGGTTTTGTCAACATGAAGCTAATCCTGTGTCCCAGAGTTTGTCTCCAGCGCTTCACGCTAAGATGGCATCATGCGGAAAGGTGGTCAACCTATAAATGGCTTACTTATAGTTGACTGTGATGCATTAAACAGAGATAAAAGGAAACATTTTACAATCCAAAAAATAAAAATAAAAAAATAAACACAATTATTACATGCATCAGGGCAGAATGAGCATCTTTGTAAAAACACACGGCTAACAATTTATCATGCAATAATTTGCACAAATTTTTACAAATGTTTTACACAGAAATTCTACTCCTGTTTTAATGAATGAGACCCAACAACTTCAGATACAAGTACATACACAATACAAACGAACATAAGTAAATACTCATGATCCGTAATAGTATTATGAAATTTCACATGACACATTTTGAAACTCTATTTGAGCAGGTCATTGCTGTGTTTTCTGGAAACATCTGGGTATTAGTCACCTTTCTAAAATAAAATTGGAAATGCAGCAAATGTAGCAAAGCCAAAGTAAATCTTTCACTATATTGCAACTCAGTTACTCACTGAAGAAATCCCAACCAGAGGGGAAAACATTTTATGTAAGACACCCACTTAGTACAAAAACATTTTTAGTTTCAATATAATAGATATATTTTTGAGTCACTAAACCCATTCTTACCTCCAAACCTAACCCTAACTCTATTTCTTAAAAATATATACAGTATAAAGAAAAAAAACTGATAAGTGTATAATCAATCACCATAAATTATTTATTGCTAAAATGTCAAAAGGAGAACCAATGTCGTCCAAATGATTTGGATTACAACACACAAGCAAAAGGATCATTTTATGCTGCATTTTTGGTGTATTTTGCGGTCATTTTTTGAGTCACATGACTTGTTTTGTATCCCACGGCAAGCACAATAAATTGTACATAAGTAATAGTTCAATGATTATATTGTGAAACAAGTTGGCAGAACAGAATGGCATGTTATCGTTTTAAGTAAATGAGTCTTCTGCATTAAAACGATGCGAATGAAAACATCTCAGTGATCATAAATACAATACAATCAACCGATTAATTCCATGAATTCAATATTTATAAATGAGGATTCATAAACATGTTTGTCTATATCTATAATGTTGTTCATTTATATTGTATTTTTTTATGCAAGCATAAGTATATGTACGTGTGGTATAACCACACTTAATTCATACATAAAAAGTACACACAAATACTCATGAGATCACGCTGAGAAATCCCATGAGGAGGTCATTTAAGTGTTTGTGTCTCATAGTTGTACTGATAAAAGACAGATTTTGAACAGGCTCACAATGCATAATTATGTGCCACATTCTGACTTCAAAATTGCTTGACGGATTATAATGGAGAAAGAGTGGAAACAACACGGCGCATTGTGCGTCATCCCTGCCCACTACATCTGCCTCGCTCATTTTCCTCTCATTCCTAACACACAATACTTCACGCTGTTGATGGAGTAAGAGTATGACTATTTATTTGTCTGTGTCTTCTAATGTGACTTTTGTAATGTTTCCAGTAGAGGGCCTTTTACTTAATGTGACACATTTGTCTTCGCTGAGTTCAAACACTGTGGCTGGTATGACCAAATCACGGGAAGTAAGTCCATAGCACTGTAATGGTATAATAATATTGCTATTTAGTTCATATTAGTATCTAATATAGCTTTTCCCTCCCCAGTGAAATAAATACTTTTACAATGAAAAATATTTTTACATCTCATTTTATTATTTCATCTTGGAATTTGGAAATTGATGGACACAAATCTAAGTATGTTACTCTTATCTGACACTAATATTAAAATGGTTAATGAATACATTCATTTTATAATGTTTTTTGTTTTGTCGGATACCATCCATATTGAAATTAAATGAAAGATTGCAGAAGATTGGTGTGCAAACGGTAGCTCAGGTAACACAAATGTGACAGAAAGCTATCCTGCCCAGTTCCCACACATTTCCATTATACTACCCAGCCCTACATGCAACAATAACTATATGTTCCCACTACAACCATTTACAAGCCTCCTGTCTGCTGAAAGGGTCTCTTCATTCGAGTGGGTATATGGAAAGCATGCTTTAATCAGTCACATCCAGATGGTCCTAAGTCACTCTGACATTCATTGCTAAGTCATTGCCTCACTTTGCCACATCCAAGCCAACTCAGAAGGGGGTGCATTCATGCTCCAGTGATGAAGTTTCCACTATGGGACGGCCCACAGAGGTTTCTTTGTTGCTCAGATCTGTGTATAGCTGTGTGCATGTAGGTGTAAGTGCAGTGGGGGCAAAGGAAAACCAATGTCTTTGTTCTTCCATTTGGTCAAAAGATGCTCAATAGCTAGTTTTGCAATTTAACTTGACCATTATGATGTTATTATTGTTGTTGTTTTCTTGCATTGTGTCATTATTTTCATGACAAGTATAGCACATTTACCCTCATATTACTTTGAGTAAAAATCTAATTTTCGTTCAAATAAAAATCTTCCCAACTGGACACATTATATATATATATATATATATATATATATATATATATATATATATATATATATATATATATATATATATATATATATATATATATATATATATATATATATATATATATATATATATATATATTTGTTAATTAGAATCTGAACAAATGAAAGCAATACAACCCATACTACCATGGCTCACAGTTAAAATTGTACTTTACAAATTGTCTTTTAATTTTGAGGTGAAATATCCTGACATGGACACATCTGGAAAGTTTTTGTGAGATCCACCACCTACCTCAGGAAATCTCTCCTGTTAGCTTATGTAGATGTTTTGTCATTTGTAATGTACATTTATTCTCTAAAAGGCTTTATAAAACATATCCCCTGGTTTCACAGACAAGGCTAAAGCTAGTCCCAGACTTAAATAAATGTTTGAGCTGTTTTAACTGAAAGCAACTTGCACTGATATATCTTAAAATATGCCAGTGTCATTGTTTTGTCTCAAGCTGCACAACAGTAATGTTTTTTTCCTAAAGCACATTTATTTAACTAAGGCCTAATCCTGGCTTAATCTAAGCCCTGTCTGTAAAACCAGGCCATTTCTTCTGCAAAATGGATTTTGCTATAGGTTAAACTTTATTAAAGAACATCTGGACTTTGTTATCCAGTTGTTGAAGACATTTTGACTGGCGAAGTATAGATTTCATACCACATCAGAACAAGTAAAGAAAATCATCTGAGTGGGATGAAATGCATTCGGATGCACTTCTAATCGAATATTGTAAAGTGACAGGACTTGGATGAAAACACATTCTAATAGCAGCACCAAATGCCAAACACAAGGAGTGTGAATTGATTATTTATGTCAATCAATATTGTTATCAGTTATAGATAAAGAGAAACAGACTGTTTTCACTGATGTATGTCGATATTTGCCTTCATTCACCTAACCTTCGGTTTTGTTTTTTAGATCTGGAAAGGTTTGGTCTCCAACTGGAATAGAAGAAACCAAGACAAGTCCATACACCGGAATACTGGAGTCGGAGTCACAGGTATAACCCTCATATTTGATTTTCCCATAGGATACTATTACAGACAGCTTCATTTGCATTTTAATTGAAGGGATTAAGCAGAAACTTATCCAGAGAAATTCACAAAATGCTGTGAGCATGTTGTGATCTGTTTCATTGCCTAGCAACAACTGTTTGCTTCATAGAAATATAAACTACACAATGCCTAATTGTCTTTAAATGTAAAACAAAAAATTCCATTACAAAAGCCTTTTGAGGACTAGTTGAGGTCAAATATATTTATTTGTTGCCTTCTGATTGAACGAACTATAACAAAGATGAATAAATACTCGAACAATGAATTTCTTGTTTGTTAGTTAAAGTCCCCTTGTAGTCAATACTTTGCTCCTTTAAAACTCATCTTTGTATTTAGTACTCATTTTACTCATTTAGTATGCGCGGTTCTATGAATACGCAAATGAGCCCCGCCTCCACTCACTCACTCAGCTCAGAGATCCACTGGTTGGCGATCACACGTTGATCTGATTGGTTACAAGGTCGTTTGTGACGTCAGAAACACCAGCGATTTCAAACCGTGTTTTTGAGACTGTCTTTGGTTCACTGCAGTTTTAAGCAGAAAATACTCAGCAATGCTGTCGACTCATGAACTTACACATGGTGTGTCTTAAAGCATATTAAAAACACCACAACATTTAAAAGCATGATTTTCACCACGGGGACTTTAATGCGTTAACTAATTTTAGTTAACTTATTATATAGTTACGTTTGAAATGAAGGGATGGACATGTTTATTTGCGCCTTTAGATATGTCAATATCGTCAGTAAGACTCACAAGTTTACACATAAAGTACTTCTTGAAGTCAAAGAAGCTGATGAAGTTTAACATGGTGCTCTTTTATAGTCATGCCGGTGCACGTCACCTGATTACCTCAGCCAATAGAATTGGTGTGTTTGCACACATGCTTCAGACACTGGTTCCTCTAGAAGCATTTCCGTAGCGTCACCACAATGATGCAGCGTCAAGTTCCCTCAAAAGGGGACTAATAAAGACCAACCTCTGCTGGATAAATAATGGATAAGGTCACTCCCTAAATATTATATCAGAAGAGGAGAATATTAATTTAACCATTAATGTTTAAATAGGGTAATGTCACATTATAACAGGGTATTACATAGATTGACAGTGCAGGCATGATATTTTCACATCAGAAAGATGACTTTGTGGCTGGTGCTCTATGGAAATTAAATGCAATAGTCCACAATATTGCCTTTGAATTCTTCCATCCTAAAATACATTTTTAACATGATGCTAATGTTTTCTTTGTATTCCCTCATGTAAGGAAAAATAGCCTATGTCAGCCATTTTGTGGCAAAAGAGACAGATGGTTTCAAATCGTTCTTGGCCCTGACACTGGAATCAGTTGGGCATTGCACAAACCTCAGTAAAGTCACATTCACATTTGGTGACTGTATGTCATAACGTCTATAAAGTGTTTCAGTGATTTCCAGAGCAGATGTGTGCCTCATGCTGAGATGTAAGTCATTGTGGCTTTTGCCATGGCCACTGGAAAGTATGAAAGTTGAAAATCTGTAAGAATAGCGATAGAACAAGTCACGTCATTTCCAATGGAAGGAGACACAGCCAAGCATGTGGTCGAGCCAAAGAATTTTTCAGAGGCTGTATTTTAACCCAGACTGTGTAGGTCGGAGCATAACTGAGGTATTGTTTCACTGCTCGGAAGTCTTGTCACCAGCTGTAATATGAGACTTCCTTAGAGACTTCCTTAAAGTTGGTCACATATGATCCACCATGCTTTTAAGGCCCTCTTTTATAGCCATAGTTTATTTAGTTCATCTATTTTGGTTACCAGCTATCATCATTACTCCAATCTTCAGTGTGTCACATGATCCTTCAGAAATCTTTCTAATATATTATTAGGAATGCACGATATATCGGCCACCATATCGGCATCGGCCGATATATGTACATTTTTAATGTTATCGGTATCGGCCAAATAAGCAAATTTGGCCGATATATTAAAGCCGATAAATAATGTATTATTTCCTCCAGCTGTGACACTTCAAATGTGCACTGTTCAACATGATGGTTTTGAATTGCTTGAAATATGATTGGAATCACTTTAAAAAGGATATCGGCTACAAAAAAATATCATGAGATACCATTCTGATTATCATGAGAACATTATAATTGTGTGTGCGTGGGACATGGCTTTTAATGGTAATACCTTTTATTTTTGTAATCAGCCTCTCAAAAATGATATACAATTTTAATTTATTGGCCAATATATCGGTTATCGGCTTTCAAATATAAAGAATTATCGGTTATCGGGATCGGCCCAAAATATTCATATCGGTGCATCCCTAATTATTTTCAATTATCACTGGTGCTCAATTATCAATAATGGTTTTTATTATTATTATCAATGTTGAAAACGTAATATTTAATATTGTTATGTAATTGTTCTTTTCAAAAGTTATTTTAAATTGTTATAATAATTCAGGCTTGGTGAAAACACAAGACTTCTTTCAAGAATGCATTTATTCCAAACTTTTTACCAGTACTGTATGTATATATCTCAACTTCCTGACTCTAAGAAGCTATATCTTGTTGTGTTTTATGTTACCAAATATCTCAAAAATTGTTTGGTGCATTTTTAAGTCTTGTATGAATAAATCCTAAATTGTGCTATTTTTGAATGAATATCTCTATATTACGTGTTCGGAGAGGGAACGGTGATGTTACGGGGCTGATGCTGGGAGTGGGTTGTTTTAGTCTGTCAACAGTGGCCATATGGTTTCCATCAGGTCCTCCCTTCAACTTCCCTTGCAGTGTTCAGGTCGATATCAACCTCAATAAATCACGGGTCATTTTCCCCAAAGCATGCCTTAATTAATAAAAGTATGTTTGAGGTCAGTTTTGATTTATACAGTTCATTGCTAGCAGTAGCAAACTGCTTTGTTTGGTTGGTTCTGAATGTTCTGGCTCTGTGGGCAGTCACCCAGAACCAAAGGGCATGCTGGGATATCACTGTAAAACAGGTCAGTGAAACCTGATGATGGTCAGGATTTATGAGCAGACACAAACACTCCTCATAAATATCTCCCTGGTCTTTCTGTGTTTCTTTTGGACCCTCGCTGGCGATTATGGGAAACTAGCAACATTTACTTTACCCAGCAACAAAACTGTTCTCATTGGTTGTGTTTTGTGTTGAACCCCTTTAGACCTGATTTTTTTTACCTACATGATACTTATGAAGATATTAAATCATATTAATAAAAGTTAGGGGTCATATCTTTGGATGATCAGGGGCCAATGAGTGACCAGGCATTTCTCATATTATTAAAACTTAAAATTGTATTGGTTTACACAAAAAAAAACGTGATATCCATACCAATGGACACAATGTCTGAAGGGGTTAATTGTCACCCACGTCCCATTTTCACGTTTGAAAATGCATTAATTAAATGCAGTATAAATAACAAGCACTACCATGATGTATGAATAATAGGGATGCACCAATATGAAAACTTTGGCCAATACCGATAACCGATAATTCTTTATATTTGAAAGCCGATAACCGATATATTGGCTGATAAATCTAAATCCAAATTTTGACATATCTTTTAAGAGCCTGATTACAAAAACAAAAGTCTCACTATTAAAATCAATGTCCCAAGCACACAGTTACGATGTTCTCTTCTCGCTATAATTTTATGTAGCCGATATGACAGACTTGCTACATGTTGCACTGAACCGTATTTTCCTTTTTTGAAGTGATTCCAATCATATTTCAAGCAATTCAAAACCATCATGTTGAACAGTGATTATCTGAAGTGTCGTTAATAACATTTTCTTAGCGGGCCGATAACAATAACATTAAAAATGATCGTATATTGGCCGATATCGATAAGGTTGCAGAAATATCGTGCATCCCTAATAAATACGTTACAATTTTAACAATTTCTCTTTTTTGCATTACAATAATTTGCATTACGTGAGTTACATGAATAAAAAATCAGCTAAAATGTGCTTAATAGCAAAATACACATTCTTATTTCTGTATTTTTTTAATATTCATATCTCTCATTTGTAATTCTTTTTGTGTCTGCTAAAAGGTTTCGTGAGCATTCTGACCCATTCAGAACTTCTTAAGAACCAAACTGCTTTTAAAGTGTGTTGGATAGTCGCCTGATAAGGGTGTCTTGTAATATTTCCCCTGGTATGAGAAGTATGATAAACGCAGCGTGTAAAAGGAGAGTCTGTTTCAACCACTCCTCCTATTTCAGTGATCCTCTAGATTCACTGTTCTGCAGAATAGGTTAAATAAATCAATTTAATGAGACATGAGCCTTATCCAGATTTATTAAATAACAAAAATCTAAGCTTATAGTGAAATTGTATGTTTAAAAAGGGTAGAGAGGTACAAATGAGCGGTTTTCAATGTAAGACTACAAAACTGGCACTTTTATAAGCTATACACCAGATGTGTAGACTAGTAAATCTGCCATTTTTATTGCAGTTACACCCATTTGTGGCAGACATGTGAACTAAAGGAGCATGCATCTACGTTTCCTTTCCAGCAAAGGTCAGAACAGACGTTATTTCTAAATATTATCATTATTATATGCTTTAGATAACCATAACTGTAACGTAACATAATGTTTCTATTAGTTTCAGTAGTAATCAGCTAGTGGTTGAATCAAAGCGAAGGTAGAAGATCCACAAAATAACACAAAACACCATCATGGTAACACACATGACAATAAAATAATGCAATAAAAACATACATAATGTGCATTACTGATCAAAAAGCTTAGAAGAAAAAGCATCAAATGTGATGTCACACAAGCTATTCTGGGAATGTCAGCTTTTCACTGCACATTATATTTCTAAAATATCTTTTTTATTTCTAAAAATGGTGCATTTAACTGTGTTTTACTGTAAAATTGCATGAAATGTAAGTATATAGTGTATTACAGTTTTCCCCTGTATATATAAAGAGAACTACAGTTCATGTTCTGTTTATAATTTAATTTTCAATGAGGGCATTTACAAAGATACTGGTGCAAAGAATTCTGTTTTTAACATTATGTGTAGAACTGAAGAGAAAAAAAGATAAATGATATGAACCTATCAAACCCATTATCTCGCACGTTGTTTTAAATGAGGAGAACAGCTGGCTTCTGTCCACTCAAAGATGAGAAATGCAATAAAACGCTTGTCTTGCTGTCCATACCGACTTTCTGAAATGTAATAAAGATTGATATGAGATATTTTTCCTGGTCATAAGGCTAAAAACAACAGAAAACAGACGAATCCTCCTGCCTCCTGCTGTGGGACTGAAGCACAGAGCACTGCTTAGATGGCACAGTTTGACTTATGTGAACGTATTCCTCCACCATCTATGAAAATACTGCCGGTATTTATTCTCCCTCGGGTCGTTCCAAACCAATATGCGGTTATTTTTTCTTGGAACACAGTAAGATAAGCCACACATTTTGGTATCAACTCCCGAGAATAAATGTTTCTTAAACAGCAAATCCTCATATTAGAGTGATTTCTGAAGGATCATGTGACACTGAAGACTGGAGTAGTGATGCTGAAAACTCAGCTTTGATCACAGGAATAAATTACATTTTAAAATATAATCAAATATAGAAAAGTTATTTTAAATTGTAATAATATTTCACAATATTACAGTTTTTATGGAAGCATATGGGTTGCAATATTCAATTTGAAATGCAATATGTAAAATGGCAATGCATATCTGTAGTTAAATTTACATTTTCCATTTGTGCAATGTTTGGTGCAAAATAAAAATGATAATTCATCGTGATCGTGACATGATCGGCTCGGAATGCATTCTCAATTTGCATGTTGAATTTTGCTACATTTATTAGATCTGACATTTTACATGATCATTTTGCTACAGATTTTGGTTGAACATTTTATCATTTCTGTAATACATTTCCATTTTAATTTTGCAAATTATAAAGCGTTAAAATATGTATTCAATTTACATATTAAAACTAGTGAATGAGATGGCAAATGTAAATTATATAATAGATTTTTCATTTTCATTTTGCACCAACGTTGCACAAATATAATGGAAAATGTCAAAAAAATGCATTGTCATTTTGCATATTACATTTCAAATTAAATATTGCTACCCGTATGCTTTCATAAGTTTTTACTGTATTTTTGATTGGATAAATGCAGCCTTGCTAAGCCGAAGAGACTTAATTATTGCACATTTTGACTATGATATCAAAACTACATCCCTCCCAAAATGGTGTCTTAATATTTATATGGAAATGTTGCCTGGCATTGCGTATTATAAAACATTGGTGCATTCAGTTTCACTGTTTTTTTGTGATCAGTTGTTTTGTATAATAATAGATTGAACAACACATTTGCAAAGTTTTGACTAATTTGCTACCGTTCCTTCAGAATTGTCACCATAATTATTATTTAATGAACTTTTGTTTGAACTTAATGTAGATTTATTGCCAGTAATTTCTGACATGCCGAGTTTTAAATTTGTCAGCCATTGATATTAAATGAAGTTTCTTCTTTTCTCAGAATTAGTCCCCAAATACGATGCTTCAGACAAACCGTTTAACAAAACAACAACAAAAAAAGATGTCTCCACTCCAATAACACAAATAAGTTGCCTTAAAGGACTGCTGATGTCATTAAATGGCTGCTAACTTATAATCAAAAGCTGCGCTGACCAGAGGCAAATGATGGGAGTTTGTCTGCAACAGTAAATATTTACATATTTTCTGAGTAAGCTGTTTATTGAGTGCATGTCAGATCTGTAAACCTGTCAAAGGCTGTTTTATGTTCCAATCATACAGTCATCACAATTCAGATTATATTAGCTCTTAGTTGAAACAGTGAATAATTTGCTTCGAGTATGTTTTTTTGTGAAGAGATTTGGATGGTATTACCATAGGGGTTATGGAGTTATTATCCTGTCAAATGTCGAGAGCGCATTATTGTAGCGCGAAAGTACATTAATATAATGCGCGAGCGCGAATCTCTCTGCTCGCGCGCGGAATATAATGTGCCGAGCGTGAATCTCTCTGCGCACGCGCGGAATATAATGTGCCGAGCGTGAATCTCTCTGCTCGCGCGCGGAATATAATGTGCCGAGCGTGAATCTCTCTGCGCACGCGCGGAATATAATGTGCCGAGCGCATTATATTAATGTTCTTTCGCGCTACAATAATGCGCTCTCGACATTTGACAGGATAATAACTCCATAAGGGGTGTAACAATATATCGTGTCACAATATAGCAATAAGAAAATGCAACATGTATCTTGGATAGTGACAATATTGTGTATAGTTCACCCAAAACAAAAATTACTGTGTAGAGAAAAAATCCACGTTTTTAGAGTTTGTGTCAGACATTAAACTACTATATATAATGTGGAATATAATGTTAATAATGTAATGGGGGAATATTTGTGGTCCTGATAATGCCAGATGTCTGATGTTACCAGTAAAAGTGTCCTACATTATTTTAAATATATCTAGTCAGTGACAGCACAAGCATATTCATCTAAATTAAAATAATTCAGTATTTTCAGCTTCAGAATCATGAATATTGTTATTCTGGTGTCTCTATTGTCCTGTGCTTTGGGTTTCAGCACCGAGTCCAAGACTATTCATTTACACACACAATGGAATTTCAAATTTAGCATTTTAATCAACAGAACATTTTTTGTTAACCTTATATCATACGTCTTGGAGTATCGCAATAATATCGTATCCTGATATGTATTGAATCGTGAGATGAGGGTATCGTTACACCCCCAGCTTACAATCAAAAACTACTTTTTTTCCCCCTTTTTTTTTACAGACCTTTCGACCAATCAGCAGTGGCTATAGCCCCACTCCGAAGAGTCCATCGCCCAAGAGTCCCATCACAGGCGGTGTGTCCCACAATAACGGCAACTCAAGACCAACGTACAACAGTCCAGCCGGACTGTATTCGCACAACAACGGCAATGGTGCCCTGCCAAAGCAGATGGCAGGCCTCAGCCTGGGCTCTCCTCACAGGTGGGACATTTTACAGTTGTTCACACATGCACAGGAATAGCTAAATGGGCCCTATTTTAAGGATCTAAGCTCATGGTCTAAAGTGCACTTAGGTTGTGTCCGAATCCCCTTTTGCTAGTTTAACGACGGGGAAAATGGTCGGCGCTCCCGGCGCATGGTCTAAAAGGGTCATCCCTAATCTCTTAATGAGTAATGGCTGTGTTTTGGGCGCAACGTGCAAAAACAAACAAAAAAACAGAGCCTCATCTCCCATTGCCTTTAAAAGCCAGTTGTGCTCGCGCCATGGAGGAGTTTACAAGCGGAAAAACTGAACGCTTCTCTAGCGAGGAAACAGATCTGCTCGTGCGCGAGGTTAAAGCGTGCAAGAAGACCATCTACGTTTTATCTTTTATTTGTAATATTTGGCATGTTTGTGTGCTGCTTCTCGTCCCTGTGTGTGTAATAAGCAGAGTGTACGTGCGTTGTGGACCTCACATCACTAACGCACTCTTTAAATAACAAAAAAATACTGCTCCATTGACTTTAGACCAGGTTTCAGTTGGTCAATGCCTCAGTCTATTTCAGTTCCTCAAAATAGCAACGCTCCAACAATGCGTCTGAACACACACCTCGTTCTCAGACCAGCAGCCCATGGGTGAACAGGGCACAAATGCATTCGCTATTTAAACAATGTGGCGCAGGACGTGAAAATGAAAACTGCGCCAGGCTGAAACTAGCAAAAAACACTTGCGTTGCGCCTGGCGCTGCATTGCACCAGGTGTGTGATAGGGCCCAATGCATTTTTCTTTGGAATAACAATCAGACCAGGAACGCAAGGTAAATAGGGTCAGATCTAAATTCATGTTAACTGTACACAGCTAAACTCTAGCCAACACAAACCACACCGCAGTTTCTGCAGTGGTGCCAGAAACGCATATTTATGATCCTCACAAGGCTGTGAGAAACGTAGTGATTTATCAAGGAAGCGATCTTGGGGATCTTTCCCATGTCGGACATCAACAGTGCAGGTCCTGTCTTCACTCAGAGCACTTGCACACAACAATAAACATCTCAGGCTGAAATATGCTACAGCTCTTCAGGCATATTGTTATGTCCAATTGAGTTCATGAGTTCAGCGAAGCGCGGGACTGGAAGAAGTGAACCGTTTTCAGGGAACATCTGCCGCACTGATATTTGCACTAGTGTATTTGGATGTAAGATAAGGGTGATCGAGAACCGTTTGGTTGCTTGCCGTTTACTCTGAAAAGGACAAATACGCTGTTTATGAATTCCTGCATATGTAAGGTAGAAGTTGTCATAACACTGATCACTCTCATGGAAACTTCCAACAAGGAAATCCATCAAAGTATCTAACGTGTACTTGGGGGGAATCGGTTCCTTCAAAGATCTTAACTCATAACAACAGTCAAACTTGTTTGGACACTCATTCTTTATTAGTAGTAATGGTGATTTCTGGGGCCGATCACGATTACTGTACGTTCACTGTAAGCAGTATTGGCCGATATTGATCGCCGATACTGAAATAAATAATAGGCACACTATTTTTAACAACAATGTATTCAAGTATGAATAAATTAAGAGATGAGAAAGTATCATGAATTGACAACTCTTAATTCATTGACAAGCAACATATTCCACTGATGAGGTGATTAGGAACAGCTCAAAGCTTAACAAATTGCAGTCTTTATCAACAGAAAGTAATCAAATGTAAAACAACATTGCATAGTCTTCACAATATAGATTAAACCTACTAAAGAGCAGTGAGTTATTTTCTCTTTGTCTTTTCTTGTCTGATTAACATTAATAACACGGACGGCAGCAGGAATATGAGGCTGCCGTCACTTTAAGAGCTGAATGCACGGATCCAATATACTGATACACGTGCGACCTATTTCCCTAATGTTTATGTTCACTTAATACAACCGAGGGTTTTTAAGCAAATACTCACCAAGCAGGGCATTTTCACCAGTTTTTGAACAGTTGGTAACACTTTACTTGAAGGGGTGTGCATAAGACTGACATGACACCTTCATAATCATGACAGGACACATGTCATGAATATGAAGGAGGGTTTATGCATGTTTATGACAACTGTCATTAAGTGTCATCCGCTCAATTATGACATTTTGTTTGAGATGTCTTTGTTATGACAACTTGACGACATAAACCAATACATCATAACCTGTCATAAATATGTCATAAACATGACATAGCAGATTAATTATCAAACTTAAGAAAGCACTTAGCTTTATGGGTTAACATTACATTAAACTGTCAGGTGGTTTTGACATTGGCTGTCATGAGGCATTATAACTGTGTCCTGAATATTTTTCTTGACCTCAACTACAGTGGTACACATTGAATTTGTCATTAAAATGTTATAATGGCCTCATGACAGCCAATGTCAAAACCACCTGACAGTTTAATGTAAAGCTAACCCATAAAGTTTCTTAAGTTTGATCATTAATCTGCTATGTCATGTTTATGACATATTTATGTTGTCAAGTTGTCATGGCAAAGCACTGACAGGTTATGATGTTATGGTTTATGTCAAGTTGTCATAACAAAGACATCTCAAACAATGTCATATTTGCATTAAAAATTTCATGAATTACACTTATTGACAGTTGTCATAAACATGCATAAAACCTCCTTCATATTTATGACATGTGTCATGTCATGACTATGAAGGTGTCGTGTCAGTCTTATGCACACCCCTTCAAGTAAAGCGTTACCAAACAAACTGGGTATTACCGTTAAGGCGCAAACCCGAAGCTTAAAGTTCACTTTACTCATCCGTGTTTCACTCCTTCCCGTAGCGCACGCACAGAAAGCCGTTTGATCTCTGATCTAGCTGATTTGGACGTTAAGTTTGTGCTTCTAGGGAGGAATGAAATCGCACCACTGTGAAGGACAGAAATGCTCTACAATCGCACCGCTCTAGTTTCTTGCTATCATTGCTCTAGGTTTGCTGTCGTTGCAATATCACCAAAAATGTTGCAGATTTATTGTCCTTTTCAGACACCCGGTAGAACTGCCACCACCGGTCAAACTTTATAAAGCTATTATGGACCAATAACCGGCGCCCGATCAATTTGAGCACCCTTAATTATATATATTATTTCACACATTTTAATTTAAAGATAGTAAAAACACATGCATAACAATTGCTGTTAAACTGTGATAAAAGAATTCTAAGTAATAAATTATTTCCAGCATTAACAACTGCAGGTTTATTACAAGATTCAGCTTTACTGTGTCCAATCTTTTGACTGGTAGTGTATGTGTGTATCTGAATATTTGTAACAAATGTGTTGCATTTGAATTTTAAACCAATTACTTTGGCTTCCATTCCTTTAGAGATGTACTGAAGCTTTTATAAATAACGTGATGCACTGAGAAAGTGTTTAGTTCAGTATGAAAACACATGGCAATAGCCGATGTTTATGTACGAGATCTGGATATGTTTTCCTTTCAGTTTCAGCCCTGAACCACCAATGAATTCATCAGGCAACCGCAATGGTTTCGACCCGCAGTCGGACGTCTACAGGATGCTTCAGGACCCCGAGGAACCTGTGTCCGCTCCCAAACAATCTGGCTCCTTTAAATACCTGCAGGGAATCCTGGAAGCTGAGGATGGGGGTCAGTCTTATTTAATTATTTCTCTCTCAGAATCAGGCTTGACGAATGCGGGTTTATTTCAGCAGTGGCGTGTAACGCACTCACTCCTATTAGCCAGTTTGGCAGGTTGAATTTTATAAAGTTTTTAATTGTAGTTTTTTAAAAAGGCATCTGAAATAGTGTAGTGTTGTCAAAAACGTATTGCGCATAATTTTACTCATTCCCGCAGATTTTGAGCTCAAACCCAAAGTGTGGCACTTAAAGCCGCCTCTCAGTACTAAAAAATTGCTGCTTATTGTGCTTAAACCGTCAAATACACACAAAATAATGACAAAATGCCAGTCTTGGGAAGTATTCACGTAATGTTTTATGTGAACGTAAACGGTTGTGAAAGAAAACACATGTGTAACAGTATATTGGATCTGTGCATTTTGTCTTAAAGTGACAGTAGCCTAATATTCCTGATGCCAAATTAGGAGATAATATTAAAAATATCTATATGACAGTTTTTCCCCCATGGTGTGGATGTCAAAATTGTGGGCAGTGAAAATGCTGAGTGGCTGTAACTTTGGAAAACCACTATCCACAGCGGCTGATGAGCAGAAAAGTGAATGTCAGGCCGTGTTCAGAATGTATTCTGGAATTGTTAATTATCGATAATGTCCTGTATTGTAATTTTGTGTGTGATCAAACCGATAATACAATGATTATCGCCTCAGTATGTTCAGTGGAAACAATAACATAAGAATGATGCAGTGTTTTTTATTACAATACATCGCTATTTACTTGTTAATTAGAAATGCTACACTATTTTGAAAATTGTCTCGCTATTGAAAAATGTATCCAGCAAAAGCACTTTTTTTGGGGACAGATTGCTCTCTCGTCTCTTGGAGGCGTAAAGCTCCCAAAAAATGTTGTGCTTTATGTCATATAAGCCCAAAAATGTGTTTTGTCTAAGCCAGATCCCACGGAGAAGCTTCTAGAGCATGCTATACTTACGCCTTCGCCATCTCTCGCACACTGAATTAGATCCCCATGGAGCCACAGGGATCAGGGATCAAGTGTTTTAGTGTGTAATTAGTGGTATTCGTTGACAGGTTTGGAGTAGTAACCTGTCCCAGCAGTTCTTGGGAATAAGGAATAAGTTAATGATCTCACTTTGGCACAACAACAGTCAGATGGCTGAGGCGGGCACCATTGAGACAGTTACACATATTATTTTATCCGGATGTTTCCTCGTTCAGCGTGAAACAGAAGATAGGAGGAGGCCTTGGCAGCTGTGCTCCATACTCTGTCCCAACCATGCCCTGAAGCTAACACACACACACACACACACACGGGATTTTCAGCTACGTCTGCGTGGAGAATAGCGTCTGACCTGGGATTGAAGTGTGAAGGACATTAATTCTAGCCATCTCTTGTTCCAGGGACAGCTGTGAAGCGCTTACTCTGGGAGATTTTTTTTTGTTTTGGGCTAAACAAGGCGTCTTGGAAAGTCAGATGTAGCCGTTCAAAGCAATAGTTAGCCCAAAAGTTACAATTCTGTCAATACTTTATCCTCCTCAAGTCGCTCAGAGCGTGTACTCTGCTGCCATTGGACACAAAATGAGAATTTTTAACTCTTTCCATGCCAGAATTATTATTTTTTTAAATAATTTTCACAAAGGTTTCATGGCCCCAAGAATATTTTGTTGTATGAATATCTGAGGATGCAATACATCAAAATAACATATCCTCTGCTTTTAAACAACAACAAAAAACTGTTTTATTCTAGCTTCATGCATTCTTTTTTATGAACACTTGAATGTAAGTTTCATTAGAAAAAGACATTTTGAGTAAAAAGCTGAAAAAAAATCACATTTTTGTCAAAGACTAGGCTACATCCAGATGGGATTCAGAAGGATGATCAAAACACAGATGAAGTAGGCCGAGTCCGTCAACACCTCAAAGCTTCACAGTCCTGAAGCTCGTCCTGGGTCGACATTTCATTCAGTAACATTAGCCAGTCTTGATTTATATGTTTAAAGGAGAACTCCGGCGCAAAATGAACCATTGGTCTAATTACACATTGTTACCTAGTCAACCGTTATCTGAGATTTGTTTTCATGATTATCGAATGTAAATAGTTTTATCTCTAAAAACAGTTTAGCCTATAAAGCTAGTATAACGCTAGTATATTGGGCATAGATCAATGACAAATGAAAATCACTTGTTAATACCACTAACAAGGCTCAAAATAGCCCCACACTAACACGGTAGCATAATGAGGGTCCCTACCTTCAAACCGAAGCATTGAGAACTTTGTCAGTGTCCAGACAGTTTAATAAGAAGATATTTTATACATACAGTCAACTTTGCGTATACAGGCAGAAGCCATCTTTGAAAAACAGCCTTTACCAGTCGATCTACGAACCAAAGGTTCATTTTGCGCCGGAGTTCTCCTTTAATGTTGATGATCGCGTTATGCATATGCTTACATATAAGATCGCTTGTTTCTGCTTCTTTTTCGCTTGTGTTTTGATCAGGAGATTCAGTGCTCTTTCAGAAGATGAGTAATAGCGCTATGGAGCCCCCTACCGTATAACAGTGAAAACACGGAAAGCCCTAAATGAAACGTTGTCTCGAAAATAACGGAAGATTCTGTCAATGGCGGGGAAAGAGTTAAAGAATGAATTTAAAGGGATACTCCACTTTTTTTGGAAATAGGCTCATTTTACAACTCCCCCAGAGTTAAACTGTTGAGTTTTACCGTTTTTGAATCCATTCAGCCGATCTCCGGTTCTGGCGGTACCACTTTTAGCATAGCTTAGCATACATCATTGAAGTGGACAAGACCATTAGCATTTCTAAAAAAAAAAAGACCAAAGTGTTTCGATATTTTTCCTATTTAAAACTTGACTCTTCTGTAGTTACATCGTGCACTAAGACCGTAGTAATCAAGAAACTTGCGTAGTAATCAAGAAACTTCACTGCCGTACCATGAGTGCAGCAGGCGTAATGATATGACGCAGCGCCTGAAAATAGTTCCGTTGTGTTGAAGGAAGGTGGCCTATTTTCAGGCGCTGCGTCATATCATTACGCCTGCTGCACTCATGGTACGGCAGTGAAGTTTCTTGATTATTACACAGGAATGAGAGTATAGTTCCTAGCCATATCAGCCTAGAAAATCGCAACTTTACATTTTCCGTCGGTCTTAGTGCACGATGTAACTACAGAAGAGTCAAGTTTTAAATAGGAAAAATATCGAAACACTTTGGTCATTTTTTTTTTTTTAGAAATGCTAATTGTCCACTTCAATGATGTGTGCTAAGCTATGCTAAAAATGGTACCGCCAGAACCGGAGATCGGCTGAATGGATTCAAAAACGGTAAAACTCAACAGTTTACCTCTGGGGGAGTTGTAAAATGAGCCTATTTCCAAAAAAAGTGGAGTATCCCTTTAACTCTGATGAATAGGTTTGTGAGTGAATTAGTGGAACAGCATAATTTAATGCAGAAAGTGGAAAGACTGAGTTAGTGGGGAAGTTTTGGAGAAAAGAAGAACAACCATTAACTTTGGGAATCCGGTAATAGGAAGCCACAATTAAACGATTATGAAACATTATTTAGGTCAGGTGTGGTCAAGTCTGCTTCTCGAGATCAGTGCTGCAACCCTGGTCAAACACACCTCAACAAGATCATCAAGGTCTTCTGAATTAATGGAGAGTTACAGGCAGGTGAAAAAACACTGTGGGAAAGTGGATTTCATGCAAAAATATTCTTATTATGAGTGCCTTTTTCTGAGGTTTCAATCTTCTTTTGTAATCCCCCATTCTCTATGTTCATTTTAGATGCATTTTGTCCCGGCATATCCCAAAGCAACTTTAAATAGCATTCAAAGCAGTTTTTTCTTTTCCCTGGGATCGAGCCCATGACACCGGCGTTGCAAGCGCTACATGCTCTTCTGTTTGAACTACAGCAAGGCTTTTTTGTGTTAGAGATTTTATTTTGAGCATTGCAAGCAACTTGGTAGTAAAATGTGCACAACACTACGACTTATCCTGGACTAAGATGAAATTAAGAAACTATTTATAGCTTATTGTTTTGGAGTTTTGCAATTTTAAGTTTGCACACTGTGATGTCACCCTCCAGAAAGCGTAGCGGTTAAACTGGATCATGTGTGCCTTGATAATCACATCAGTGACGTCGTTTAATGGCTTGTTGTACGACTGTCAATCATGCTTTGTGGATACAGTAGAAATGAATGAGTCATAAACCGAATCACAAAATTGTCTGTGATTTCTCTTGTAAAACATCAATGATTTCAGTGTAAACTAAAAAAAAATTTTTTTAAAAAGATTACCATTAAACATTTTGTTTTTGATTGGTGATGTTCAATTCTTGACCAAATTGTTATTTTTAGCTGGTAACCAGTCGAGCCTGACTGTCAATCAAACTGACTTAAACTTTAGCTCCGGGTTGATGACGCAAGACTCACATCCGAAGTAGCCCACACACATACACACACATGCACACACACACACACACACACACACACACCTAATGAGCCAATAAGCATGTCCAGAAATGCAGCTATGTTTCCAGTGATCCTGAAGACCTTGATGTGTTGGTTCAGGTGCGAGAGACACACACACACCATGATTAGTTGGTTCAGGTGTGTTTCATTAGGGTTGGAGGTAAACTCTGTTGGAAGGTGGACTCCAGTAACTGATGTTCACACTGCTGGCCAATCAGACTTTTTCTCAAATCAGATCTTTTCAGGCAGACTGTCTGCACTATTCATTTCAAGTGAACAAATAAAATGTGTGTCTGTCCATACATAACCAACATGGGTTGCTTTGGTAAGGACGTAGGCCTACCCACGTATGTGACGAGGCTTTCAAAGCAGATGCAGGAGAAATGAAGCTACATCATTTCGCTCTCTAAATTCACGGTGCAGAACTCTTACATCGCACAAGAAAAACTCACACCGTTTGAATACCGGACGAATACTTCTGGCATTTCTGCCTCTGGTTTGACGTTATCATTGTATGTTGCTTTAAGAGTGATGCAAAAGACAATTTGAAATCCGACAATGTGAGATGCATCTGTCAAAATTTGATTGGAACTGCATTTCAGATCAGAGACCACCTCTTAATGTGGTTTCAATCAAATTAGGAAAAATCTGAATTTTTTTGTTTTTTTGCTGTCTAGACTTTCAAAAACGAATCTGGATAAAATCAGTCTGAACATAGCCTGAGTTCGACACCCCTGCGTGAGGGATAGAAGTTCAGTGCATTCAATGGATTGTACTGTTATTTGACAACATACCAATTGTTCAGTTTCTTGACAAAAACTCGCTAAAACGGTTTGAAAAGTTGTACGTTGTAAAAATTGTGTGATCGAGGACCTTTATACTGTGTGTGGCATTGTAAAGACTGTAAGTCTATCCCTCACAGCCTCGTTTTCATCCGCGTTAAAGGATTAGTTCACTTCAGAATTAAAATCTCCTGATAATTTACTCTCCTCCCGCACGTCATCCAAGATGTTCATGTCTTTCTTTCTTCAGTGGAAAAGAAATGAAGGTTTTTGAGGAACACACTCCAGGATGTTTCTCCATATAGTGACTTCAATGGGGTCCAACGGGTCGAAGGTCCAGATGTGAGTTTCAGTGCAGCTTCAAAGTCTCGACACGATCCAGCCGAGGAATAAGAGTCTGATCTAGACAAACCAGCGGACATTTATAACACAATAAACATTTATATACTTTTAATCCACTAATGCTGGTCTTGCACTAGCTGTGATGCGCCACACATTACGTCATCACGATGAAAGGTCAAGCGGGACGTAGGCGGAAGTACAGACCTAGTGTTTACAAAGCCAATGTGCAAAGACTAAGTGAAACGCCATTTACAAAAATATTAAATAAACAAAAGGTCAAACAACGATGTTGAACGATTTTGAAGTTGGAGGAGAAAATGAGATGGAGTGTTTCGCCCTAACCTACATTTTACGCCTACGTCACGCATGACCTTTCAACGTGATTACGTAATGCGTGAAGTCGTGGAAGTGCAAGACGGGCATTTGTGGTTAAAAAGTAATACATTTATTTTCGACTGAAGTAAGAAAGACATGAACATCTTGGACGACATAAGGAGTGAGTAAATGATCAGAAATTGTTCATTCTGAAGTGAACTAATCCTTCAAATTCAAAATGGCATAACCTGACTACGGTCTGTAGGATTGGACACCTGGGTTAATTGAATGAATCAATGACTCACTCATATCACACAAAACAACACTGTGTTGTTGCCATCATTTTGCATAAGAATGGTAACCTTTTTGGTGAATGAATTAAAAAGTTTTAAATCATAGTATCGGCAACTTCATGATCTAGGCAGGACCGTGTCACACACTAGAGGAGCTTTGGTTACTTCATGCACTTTGATCTGCTTTTGTTGCAAAGCTTAGTTCTTGTAAATAACACGAATCACAAGTCAGCGATATTTCTGATGATTTACTGGCGTTAAGTTTCAGCACAATGACAAACAGGAGCGCAACATTCAGGGATTGAGATTAACACCCTCGACACGCCAAACGCGGGTAAAAATGAACTTTGGCGGGAAACGCTGTCGAATCACGAGCCAATCTGGTGTTTCTGTGTTTACTCACTTTGCTGGGGAAGTTCGTGTAAGACAAATCTGTGCGGATTTAGTGCAAATACGCAACTCGTGATCCTCATGATATATTAAATACAGCGTATTGCAGAATCTGCGCATTTCTGGCTTACTTGAACACACACGTCACTACGCAACAAATAACGGCGCGGTTGTTCACTTGCATTGAAGTAATAGCGAATATTAAAAAGCATTTGGTGAATAGAAAAGACATTGTTATTTTCCAGCATCCTACATGTTCTGTGTCCTGTATTGATCTGTCCACCTAAAACACATTTTCGGTAAAAAAAAAGAAAGAAAAAAAGGCCGCTAAAATCGATTCCCTATTTTCGTTTTCGAAACTTGTGTTGGTTGGTCCGATCGATTGTGCAATCGATTTTCGAACGTAAAGTGACCGCCCTAATAGTTGATCACTGTATCATATTCTGTGCCCTTGACTGCAGTTTCTTTTCTTTGCAGGGGTCTCACCGGTGGACAGGCATGGGGTTCGAGGCTTGCGCTCCCCGGTTAAATCCCCCGTCCCGAAGCTGGGCAGCCCCATCACGGCTCCTCTGGCGCCCATGGCCGGCCTACAGAAGCTGCCTCAGTGCACACGCTGCGGGAACGGCATTGTGTAAGTGCCATCTATTGCTGCTTATGGGGGCATGAGCTTTTATAATGTTTACAGGGGTGCATTTATAATGTTAGTATGATTTGTAAATCAAAAATTGTCATAATTTAGAAACGAAAAGAACATTTTCCTACCCTGATTTTAGCCTTCGGTTTAAACGCTCTGTTTTAAGGGGCGTGTCTCTGTGAGACTTAAGTGTAAACGCCCACTGCTGTGATTGGCTGACAGATTTGCATATTAAATGAGTATTACATGTGGAACTTTTAGCACATTTTTACAATTAGAGTTCGTGAAAAGTGTTGATTATAGCATTATATTTAGATCGTGGCATGAAAGAGATCTCGTCATTGTAACTCGATTTCTGCACACTAACAAATGCTTTCATCATAACTATCAATGTAAATAAGAGGTTCGTTGATTATAACAGGAGTTTTGGCGAGAGCCCAGAATTCAGTCACTGACCCAGACAGCAACACTGTGGCCCAGATCCGGCCCACATCCGGTACAAGTGGATTCCTTGTTGTTGTCTGGGGATTAACTTGCTCTGTTTGATTTACAGCTCCAGCGATTGTAAAGGGAGCGTTCTTTAAATATATAATTTAATCACAGTTTAAATAACAGATTATGTTCATCCTTCTAAAAGAAACAATGTGAAGATCACCATTTAGTCACTGATTTGATTTACTGATAAAAACACAATTTTGAGACAAAAACATCTGACTGTAGGTCTTCATGAATCTGCAGAAATCACTGGTCACTTGTGATGTTAGACCAGGGGTGGGGAACGTTGATCCTGGAGGGCCATGGTCCTGCAGAGTTTAGCTCCAACCCTGAAAAAACACTCACCTGCCTGTAACTTTAGCAATCCTGAAGACCTTGATTAGCTTCAGGTGTGTTTAATTAGGGTTGGAGCTAAACTCTGCAGGACAATGACCCTCCAGGATCAACGTTCCCCACCCCTGTGTTAGACAAACGATCTGTAACAAAGCAATAGTGACACAGTAAAATCTTTTTTACTCGCAAAAGTGTGTTGCGTCGTTCCTGTCGGATTCAATATAGAAGAAGCCACAGCATCGTTTTTAAATTTCAGTCTCTCTGCAAATCCACAAGCTGGCACTGCACAACATGTTGCACTCTTCAAAGGCATATTTATCGCTTAGTTGCTGGATCCAGTGTTAGCGTCTCGTCTGTTATTTACCCACTACTTGTCGTGCTGGAATCAGTGGGCGGGGCTACTGAACTTTAGGGTTAGTGATGTCACCAACCCAGGAAGTAGCTCGTTGTAGTCCGTTTGTTGTAGTCCTTAAAAATCGATTTCTGTAAAAGAAAATATCTGAGCGTCGTAACTTTGCAGATGTTGTTTGTGCTCAAACAGCAGCATTACACACTAACTAAAGTTAAAAAAGTGAAATCATAATCAACCTGAATGTTGAAATATACAGCAATATTTGCTGAGAATCACCCCTAAATGAACATCTAGACACTAGATAGTATTGAATAGACTTAGTGTGGTTTATCATCTATAAACATGAGCCTGTAAGTCGTGTCTCGCAGTAAATGAATGACTTTAACAGTGACATGTTCATTGAATAGCTGATTGTTAAATGAAGCCAGGCCTGCTGGAACATGTGGCACAGGTGTTCCCGATAATGATAATGCTGCAAGTCACTCTTCTGCTGTTGGCACTTTCCCACAGGAACATGAGTAAACCGTGATGTCATGTGATAAGAACAGTTCCACAGAAGAAGGAAACAATGCGCCCATTGTAAACGCTGTTTATAGATATTATAGCCTTCAAATATGTACCTGTTCATAGAGATTTATAATAGGAAGTGAATTAGTGATAAGAGATTGTCCAATCAGCCGTCAGGGTTGCATAAAAGACATTTGTGCTTTCTGTGTTATATCATGGTTGGGTCATGTCATTTCAGATTTTTTGTTTCAGCCCATTTATGAAAGGAATTTATTGTTTGACTAAACATTACCTGCTAATCCTACTTTAGCAGTTGTTGACCACCATTTTTATCATACAAGCCTTTTCTCTTTTAAAGTAGTCTATGTACAAAATTTGTTCAAAAACTTTAGATGTTTTTCACTTTAAAATAATAGTCCAGATCACTAGTAGTTCCTAAAGAGTGACTAGGTAACACTTGAGTAATTAATGCTTGTTGAAAGTAAAATAAGACAGTTACGCACATCTCAGACACGTTGATGTTGTGATTATTACTTAATTCGTAATTCTTTAGCATTTGTCATAGTTAGTTGAAAGTTATTAAAGTCCCCCTGTGGTGAAAGTCCAGCTTTTAATGTTGTTTATGTGTCTATGTGGTGTTTTTAATATGCTTTAAGACTAATCATGTGTAAGTTCATAAGTCGACAGCATTGCTAAGTATTTCCTCCTTAAAACTGCAGTGAACCAAAGACAGTCTCAAACACACGGTTTGAAATCGCTGGTGTTTCTGACGTCACAAACGACCTTGTAACCAATCAGATCAACGTGTGATCGTCAACCAGTGGATCTCTGAGCTGAGGGAGTGAGTGGAGGCGGGCTGCGGACACTAAATGAGGCGAGGGTGTCGAGTTACATTCAAGATATTTTAAGGCGTGAAGAACGAAGACAGAACACGCTTAAATATGTAATTTTGCTGATCAAAGATGAGTTTTAAGGGATAAAATTGACTACAGGGGGACTTTAAATGTAACCTTTTGCTGAACATAGCATAAAACATTTTTCTAAACCAACATAAATACAAATAGTAAATTTCTTTTTTTGTATAAAGATTTGTCCTTTTCTCTCTCCTGGACCATTGACCCAATTACTAAATGAAGTGACAATAAAAGTAACAATAAATGTAATTTAACAAGTGTCTTCTAACTGTTTTAACACAGGGGAACGATTGTGAAGGCCAGAGACAAGCTGTATCACCCCGACTGCTTCATGTGTGATGACTGTGGGCTGAATCTCAAGCAGAAAGGATATTTCTTCATCGATGAGAGTCTGTACTGTGAGACTCACGCCAAGGCTCGTGTCCAGCCTCCCGAGGGCTATGACGTGGTGGCCGTCTATCCCAACTCCAAAGTGGAGCTGGTCTAAGCACACACACACACACACACACAGGTTTCGTTGAGGATTCAGCTAGGCAAAGTGGAAATGAGAATAACAAACTCCTGAAGCTCTTCTTTCAGCTCCTGCTCGACTTTATCCCGGACTCACGTTCTGTAGTTCGCTAACCTCGTACTGAAATCCACTTCTCCCTGCAGCCGTTCTAACAATCTGACAGAGCAATTCTGCTACTGCTTTAAGAAGAAAGTTTGACATGTAAGATAACCGAATGGCCCAGACGAACATCTGTTCACCTAGATTCCAGCGGTTCCCTTCTCTGAACGCTGTGGTGAACTCGAGGTGCTCGAAAAGGCCACGAAGAATGTCTCAAGCCATGTGGAAAATGGAAACGGTATTCATTTATTCAGAGAGTTTGGGACGGTATGTTTATTCTTTGGCTAAGAAGCCAAGCTGTGTGTTTTTCTCTCGACGAGCAAGCTTCCATCACCGCCACATCCGGCTTGATGTGGACAAAATGAGTCTGTAGGAATGGAAAAATATCAGTTTTATTGCCTTTGAGCAGATTTAAGGTCCTTGCACACCGAGTCCGATTTTGGCGTATTCGTCATCCTAAAAATTCGTAAAATGTAGTTTCAATCAGTGAGGATCTGAAATAGACAGTTTCCTCTGATAACAGATCACTGTAAACTGTAACGTGGACTCGTGCACTTTCTGTAAAGCTGCTTTGAAACGATGTGTATTGCGACAAATAAATGTGAATTTAATTGAAATTGAAATAATATTGGGTCCATCACCCACTCCTGAGATTGCATAGAGAGGAAGGAGAGTTCGCTGCGGGATTATCCCGATGCTTTAGTTTCCCTCAGGACGCAGTGGCTCAGTTTGATGCTCATATTAATAAGAAGAACCACCAATTACCAACTGATCCTGAACAGTTCTGGGTTTTTCCATTCGCTTGTACGGTGGCTCTGAGCTGTCAAAACACCTCTCAAAAGGCTTGCTACGGATGCAAAAAACGCTGGAAAATTTTTTATGACGGAGGAAAGTTTCGGAGGCGGTGTGTAAGCGTGATTGACACAACGTGAGGTCGTATTTATTTTTTAACGTTTTAACGCAAATTTCGGACTCAGTGTGCAGGGACCTTGAAGCTTGAAACATGCTATGTGCAAGTATGTGAATGCGATTTGACATGTAATTGCTTTCCTAAAACTATCAAAACACAATTTCTATTGCAACCGCGCATGGCATTCTCAGAAAAAAAGCTTTACATTCACATCAACTACCATCGTACAGTAGTGAAGCAACCGTTTGAAGAGATCTTGCTGAACCACCAATATGTAATGTCTTCTTTCGCCTATTTAGTAGATTCATCATGTTTTCTGTCTTTAAAGCTATCACATGAAAACATTCGGACATTTCTAGCTGACTCGAGTACTGATGTTTGTAATGTAAACATGGCCAAGCATTTGTGTCTGCGTACATTATGTGATTTAAACTAGATTATTATTTTTATTTTTAATTGTGTGGATGACTTCTTCGTGTAAAACAAAACCAGAATAGTATAAAGTAGATGTGCTTTTATTTTTTGTCTTTTCTTTATCTGGTGATGCTTTTGTAAATTCTGTAAAACAAAAAGAGAAATGTTTGTTTTTCTAGTTTCTAATGAATGCTATATACGTGTGTGTGGGTTTGGTTGTATTAAGAGTCTTCTGTAAATAATTTGAATGCTAACAGATCATCTTTAAACATAATAACAGCAAAAACAGAAAAGGAAATCTTTTTTTTTTTTTGAGCAAGGACTTAATTCTCATTCCAAACCCTCTTTCTTCCGTGGAAAACACAGAAATAATGCTCATGCTAGACAGATGCAGTTGGGCCATTAAAGCATTATAAAAGTCGTCCATATGCCTGCAAGTCTTCTGAAGCCATGTGATAACGTTGGGCCAATATTGTGTTGGGGTCAGTTCTTGAAACACTGGTTAAACTATTTATTTCTTCTTTAAGTTTTTAGACAATTTCTCATTAGGGTCACGGATGTGCATCCCAAGTTCTGACACTGGTGTGTTGTGGTTATATGTATTGTTTTAGTGGTCAAATCAAGCCCAATTGGTTTCGATGCACTTTGCCAAAAAACAGCCATTTAAAGGAGTCCTAATGTCCCCTTTTACGAAGTTTTGATTTTGTTTTTTGGGGTGTACTAGAATATGCTTTCATGCTTGATGTTGTCATGTCCCGATTCAGACCCTAAAAATAGCCTTTTGTTAACTAAACTAAAACTAAAAGTTTCCATCCACTTTTTTTCGCTGTTTTGTTATCGACAAAGTGAATATGTGGTAAAAAAAAAATTGGAAAATTTGCTGTCTCCATCTTGTTTCCATCCGATTGGTCTTTTACATGACATCATCCGTAAAACGAGGTGCGCTTGTTCCATGACGCAATACTATTATAACGGCGCATTTACAAATCGGTTCACAGCCGAGGAGATCGATCGATGTCGTAAAAGAAATTGAAGTGACATTGGGGATGGGACAAATCCACCCAAATTAGCTTCGGTTAAACATGCATATAATAATTTGGGTAAATGTGTACGCTTTATGCCTATTTTTCCCCATCGTCATAGACACAACAATGATTTCCCTCGTGTTTTTATATTTTTCCTTATAACAATGTATCATTTGCAAAAAGTAAAATGCATCTGTGTAGATGAGAGAATCATCTACAGTGTATGTGCGTTGTTCACACTCTGTATTATGGCCAAGCATGCGCGCTTAAAATAGCATCTGAATGTACGCGCACCGCGCCACTGACTCTAGACTAGGTTTTTTCTGGTCAGTGGCCCAATTGTTTTCTGGAACTGCAAAATAGCACCAGGGAATGTTTGCGCCGAAACACGCCTCCTTTTTCTGCGCTGAACCGCCCAGGAAGCGCAAGTTCATTCCCTAGGTTTCCGGCGTGCGTCTGTGGAGGGAAAAGTCCGCTTTGCACGGGTGTAAAATACGAATGATACATGCGTCGGTGTACAAAGTTAGAGAGACGCCTCGTTTCACATCACTTATAAACTCATGCGGCAAATCCTGATTCCAATGAGCATAGGGATACCTTATGTCAAGCATAACAAGATTAAGTTTATATAATCATACCTTATTTTTTTATGCAGTTGTTTTTCTTTTCTTGCCATGATGCAAAATCACGCTCTCATTGTGTCATCTTGTGGTCGGAAGTGGGACGTTTCATCTCGAATATTCGACTTCGTCTCGAACGCGTCATTACGGCGCCGTTTAAACGACACTATTTTCAACTTAAAACTGAACACTTTTTATGCATTTTCACCGTTCATTTACACCAGAATGGCATTTTGGGGCCTGAAAATGCAAACTTTTGAAAGCAGGTTTTAAAGTGCAAGTGTAAAATGATACACGTCAACTAAACGGTGACATATGCGCGTGCCTGCATTGTGCTTCTTTATAAAGGGACATCGCCATCGACTGGCCTGGTATAAAGAATACAGCGTTTTTAGTCGTTTTCACGGATCCGTGTGAGCGGGGATCGGTTTCGAGAACGTTGTTGTCTGTACACGAACATCATTGTTGCGTAAACGTACCCTTCATTTCAGGCAGTTCTACAATCACGAAGACTTTGATTCTCTGCTTTAGGTGTTTAATTCAGACTGGAGCTGAACTCTTGCCTCCAGAAGTAGGACTGGCCATCACCGTACTAAGGCCACATTTACACACAGAGAAACGAATATTTCCCCCGAAATAATTTCGTGTAAATGAGAGGCCAAACCGCAGGGAAATATCTGCGTCTTCTCTTCGTGTATTGGGGCATAAAGCAGGTCCACAGAAGTAAGGAGGAATCACGGAGACCAAGGGTTGGCAAAGCTGAGGAGGTTCCCATGCCGATCCATTTTCCTTCCAAGCTTAATCAAACACACCTGAACAAGCTCATCAAGGGCTTCGGGATCTCTGAAAGCTACAGGCATGGGAGTTTGATCAGGGTTGGAGCCAAACTCGGATTGTTACATATGTAAAGTGGAGCAGGAATAAAAAAATACTGGTGCCAAATTACCATCAGCTGTTTTCCGTCACAACAAGCCCGTGTGCTTTTGCTTATCAGACGCGCTCTACTAAAGTGAGCAACATTAAAGTCTTTCATTGCAGCTGGCTTGCTTCTTCAAAGTGTCCACGAGCTTGTTAAACGAGCATGTGTTCTTGTAGAGCTTCCCCCAGCTGAGGAGTTTGCATGTAAATGAGAGAGGTTTGTGATTTCAGCTGTCGAGGTCAAACTGCAGTCCTGAGACACGGCTCATGCTCACGCTTTCCTAATCACAACCAGAACCAGTTCTGCTCCTCACATTCCTTTCCTTCTCCGACTGTTCCTCTGTCCCGCACAGTCTCGGACCTCGGCGAGGCCTGAAATACACAATATTGAGTCTATATCAGTTTCGCCAAACACAAGTTGGATCACTCTAAAAATATCGTGGATTAGCCTACGTTGGTACTTCATACTGAGACGTTTTCTACTCTTAATGGGTTTAAAATATAATTACATTGGAAATATCAGATGGATTTCTGCCAATGAATAATGTTAACTCCATTTGATTATTATAAACACATAATTGATAACTTTTAAAGTGATATGATCTATCATGTCGCTGCATAAATTGAGGTTAATACACTGGAGTCGCATGTTTTACTTTAATAATGCCTTTCTGAGGCTTCAAAAGTGGGAGTTGGTGTCCATGGAGGGACAGAAAGCTCTCAGATTTCACTAAAAAAGACCTTCATTTGTGTTCAGAAGATGAACTAAAGTCTTATTGGTTTGGAACGACATGAGGGTGAGTAATTAATTATACATTTTGGGTGAACTAATGTAACACAAGTAAATTAGCAATGAATATGTGTGATTGCTTTAATAATAAAACAATACAATAATGAATCATTTTAAATTGCTTAAAGGGTTAGTTCACCCAAATAATGATTTATTATTGTATTGTTTTATTATTAAATCATGCAATCACACATATTTATTGCTAATTTACTTGTGTTACATGGTTAGTTCACCCAAAAATGAAAATTCTCTCATTTTTTCATTGTCATGTCCTTCCAAAACTTTCAAAACAAAAATGAAGATATTTATAATGAATTTGAGAGATGTCTGTGCCTGCATTGAAAGTCCATTTTGTCAAAATTTTGACACTTTAAAAAGTTAATAAGGGCTTAATCCATATTGTTTGAATCAGTTGAATCCAATCATTTCA